GGAAAGACATAATGCATTTTTCTATGCAAAAACTGGGTCATGACTTTCTCAACCCAATCATTTGCTAATTATTCCTAAGCAAACTATACAAGCACTTTTAGAAGTCAGAGAAGGTATATGCAGTGCTCATAGGAAGTTCAGTGTCTAAGGTATAACACAGGTTTTAGGAAGTTAGAAATCAGTTAAGGCTACAATTGTGCAGCAGTACTGAGTAAATAAATACCTGGAATATTGACACACAGAATTAATATACATAGTGGAGGATGCCATTAGGACTGGACCAGGCATGTGTAATAAGACAAGGGTTAAGCTGAGTGGGGTTGTGACAAGACAGATTTGGAAAGCATTCATCTGATAATGGCCTTAGTTTTGAGATAGAGAGGAAAGATGGTAGTATGATCCTGGAAAATGCATCTTTGGAAGCAAAGTAAGTAGAAATAAGATTTGAAATTCTCTGATAGGGAAAGAAAAAAAAAGGAAAGAGGAGGAGAGAATGGCCAGGGATGGAAATTAATTAGTTTTTGAAATTGGGATGGGTACAAATATGATGGATTTTAATAACCAATCTTTAAATAATAATAGTAATAATAATTGTTTTACATGAAATCTAATAATGATTGAGTTTCTACATGTCTTGCATATGTATCATGTTATTTGTTTCTTACAACAGTCCGGTAAGTTGTGGGTTGTTTAATCCCACTTTACGGACAGGGATTCTGGGACTTAGAGAGACATCCTAAGTTTGCATAACTGCTAAGTGACAGAGCCAATGTGTGAACTCTGCTTGCACTCTGAAGCCCGTGCTCTTAACTGTTAAATTATGCTCTGCTCCATAAATCAGCTTTGCATCCTCTCTTAATTGTTCTAGCAAGGTAGAGTGGTTTCTGTTGTTTTCTTTGTGATTTGGCTTATATGGGGAATTTTGCTGATGAGCCGACACTGTAAATCATGCTGTTCAGCCACTAGCTTAATGTGTTTCTGTTCAGCACTGGTCACCTGTGTTGGCTATGAGACTTTGGGATGGTTGCAAACAATCGCTCTGTTAAATCATTCATTCTCAGTGTATTTGATAAAGAAACAATGACTCAGCATCAATGGGGATAAGTTTAAATCTGAATACATTTCTCACATGAAAAACTAGATATAAAACAGGAGGTTAAACATTGGAACTTCACTTAGATTGACAATATATTGAGGCATAAAGGTTTAATACCTTCCGATTTATTCTTAATGTTGTCTAATATGACTTTGAAAAAGTCATTACAGGGATATTTCTACGGCTTTCAGTTCCATAGAAAATGTTTTCTAGTAGTTTTCATTCTTCTGCTTTCTTCCACCTGATATTTTCTCCCCTCATTTTATTCAATCTTCTCTTCCAGGTCCCAGCACAATTATTTAAGAATCACCCGTATTCTTAAAAGCCTTGGTGAGCTTGGATATGAAAGTTTTAAATCTCCTCTTGTAAAATTTATTCTTCATGAGGCTCTTGTGGAAAATACTATTCCCAATATTAAACAGAGTGCTCTGGAGTATTTTGTTTATACAATTAGAGACAGAAGAGAACGGCGAAAGCTCCTGAGGTTTGCTCAGAAACATTACACGCCTTCAGAGAATTTTATCTGGGGTCCCCCTAGAAAAGAACAGTCGGAGGGGAGCAAAGCCCAGAAAACACCGGCCCCTCCCACCTCTAGTCATAACAGTCAGACTTCTATGCACAAAAAATCTAAGGACTCCAAAAATTCCTCCTCAGCTGTTCATGGAATTAGCAAAACAGCTGAAGAAAAAAAAGTGGCACCAGAAGAGCCTGGGGAAGAGTCAGACAGGCCCAGCCCAGAGCCTAGCCATGAAGAGGCCAAGCCAAGAAACACAGAGAAGGATGACAATGCCGAAAATTCAAATTCCCCACCGGAAAAAACAGTTATAAATCCCACAGGAAAAACGGAGAGTACACCTCCTCCGGAAGAGGATGAAGAGGGCGAAAATCACGACACAGACTGTAAAAATGCTGGAAGTACACGTTGCCAAGAGGATACACCCTCACAGTGAAAGCCACTCACCAGTTTAGGTAAGGGAGGAAAAAACTACTGTACAGTCCATCCTAAAGAACAGCGATGAGGTTACATTTCAAATTTTACTGATCTGCTTTTGCTTTCTGTTGTAACCATTTTATTGTTGCTTGTTTTTTTATTGTGGATGACAATGAGATGAATACTTAACAAGAAGTTTTAAGAAAAGACCCAATAAATGAGTGCTTTCTATAATTGTGAGTTTTCAAATTCTATACAGAATACTTGCTTTTAAATTATTTTCAAGGTATCTAGAGATAATCAAGTAATAATTGATATATCAAATATGTTTTTGTTCTTTTGAGAGATTCAAATCTGTATAAAGAAAATCATGAAGATAATTTCATTGTATTACCACATCTTTACCTGAATTATGAATTAACTTTTTTAATCAGGAAGAAATTGTTTGGTCTTCTCAAATTTACTCAGAAAGTAGTTGGGATTCTTTCATTGTAACACCTCAGTATGTTTACATGTAGATTCTGAGGAGTGAAATGGAGTTCTGGGGCCGACCCCTGCACCCAGCTCCTTCGTCTGTCCTGCATTCCTCCCGCCCTTTCTGCGCTCTCCTGGCCGCCATCTTTGTCAGCCAGCCCAAGCTGTTCTGGTGTCCACTAGGATGTCTTCCTATTGTGAAAACTCAATGGAGTGGAGGAGGACTTTGCCATGGATGATTCCACGAATTTTCTTTGTTTAAAATAATGAAAATGTTTTCTGTATTAAGTGCGTGAGAACAAATTTTGATGTAAAAGTCCAAGAAAAGAACTTGGTTTTCTTTGGCAGTCCCATGTACATTTTATTCTGAATACCAATGACTGAAGAATTAGTAAGAAAGGAAATGACCCATTTTAAAAAGAACACACCTTTTGCTCCATCACCAAGGCAGCCATCCCTTAAGCCATGAATATCTCATCAGTGTTATGTGAATTATGGAATTAATAAGGTGGCTTAGTCTACAAGGTAGCTTCTGAAAAACATGTACCGTTTGATGCAGCTCTACAGGTTGTCACACTTTGAAATTGAGAACAGATTTGAAGTTCCATATACTCAGTTCTAGTAAGCACTAAATATGTTACATGATATTATGAACAAATATTTTTATTTTCTATAGTATTACTAATTATTACAAATCTGAAAATAATCAGAAACATTGTGATGAGGACTTCAAAACATACATAAAAATCTAGATAAACATGTTCACTTTATTTTATTATGAAGGAACTGACTTTTTTTTTCCTCTCTTGGGTTTTTAAGAAATGTTCTATTTTCTCCCTCAGAGTTTTTAATGTCCTATTTCACATTATATTTTATCATTTTCTGTTGCCTTTATTGATTCACATTGTCAGCAGTGGATTTCTAGGAAATGATCACAATCCTATGTCTTTAGAAAATAATTGTATTGCTTTGAAGTTTACATGAAACATCACAGTTGCTTAACTCTGATTTGTTGTATGAATCTTAGTAGAACTCATGTTATATATCATATTCTAATAGGTAGAATATATAATAGAACATTTTTCATTTTTAATTCCTATAATACATCAATTTTTGCTTTCTTTTATTTTGTAAAGTGAGAATTAGGAGTTGAGAAAACAGTCTGCTTTTGCATTTGCATTTTCCTTTTATTAATTACCAGAGAGTGCATGTGTTTGCCAGAGATAAAGAGAGAGAGAGCGAGAGAACTACAGCAGGGTATAATCATACTGCAGTCCCTTCTACAGTTTTCCATTCTGTCAGGATTTCTGGCACACATGCACATATGCCTGGCATGTTTTTTAAGCTGCCGGGGCCAGAATTCAAACTATGGATGGCCATATGAGTTCTGGGCTTCCTTAACCGCTAGGCTACAGGGCCAGCCCTTAATTTCTTTTTTTTTTAAGTGCAGGAAATACTAGGACACTTTTATGTGGTGCTTGCTGTAGCAACATACCCATAGAGCTCAAAAAGCTGTTTTACAGGGTTTAAGGGGAATGAGAGTAAGTTGTTGAATTAGTCTGAATCTAAGAATACAGTTAGTTTAATTCAAAATATCTTACTAATTTTTCATATATGATAAAATGCTCAGACTGCATTATAAATGCAGATTATTAAAAATGTGTGATCAGATATTACAATATTATTAACAGTTACCAGGTACTAAAATGACATAATCTAAATTACTTAGAAACGAGTATATCAGAGCCCTTAGAACTAAAACCATCTTATCGAACAATTTAACTCTTAAACTGTTAGTCCTAATCAGGGGTTTTGATGAGATTGTGCCATTTAATTTGAGAGTATGTTGTCTCAAGGGAAAAAAACTGCCTGGCTTCCATCTAAAGTAGTGGCCTTTTCCCACCATAGTGTTTTTAAAATGCATCTTTACATGTAATAGTATGTTTCCTACATTTAATCTGTAAATAACTTAGAGTTATTCAATGGAGAACAAGTAAGATATAATTTCTCTTATAGATAAAAACTTAGTGTCCAGAATTTTTTTCTATTAAGAATACTTTGTACATTTCATAATTTTAAAAATAAGATCTATAGTTATGCATTTATGTGTTTGTAGATATGAAACAGCCCCCTGGGTTTGACTCCAATGTTTTATATTTTAAAAATTATCGTACGCTTGCTGAAATTTACTGAGAAACTATTATAAAAATGCAGTGAAGCATGGCCAAATAGCAAGACATATTACTGAATCTTTGTAAATATATAGTCTGCATTGTTGTACCATTGACTGCAAGGATACTGAATATTGGCTATTGATAAAATACTAATTTGCATTTCATAGCAAATAGATGTTATGTCGCTTGATTAGTCTAGTGCATTTCTGATATTTTGTGCTTTCATGTATCAAAGGATATAATATATGTGAGAATATTTTGAAATACTGTAAAGTGATATATAGTTATAAGATATATTTCCATACAGTAGAGAAAAAGTCTATGACATTAGATTATTACACCACTATACATTTTCATGCCCAGTCTCATAATAAATTCAAAATAATCATGAGAGAAGTGAAAATACTTTCACGTTCACTAAATCAAGTCTAGTTGTCAGTTCGAAACATTATGTTGTATAGTTTTATTTTGAATTTAGATTTCGAGACTTTCCTAGCTTCAAGGAGAGAATAAAACCTACAACTCAGGAGTTACTAAGGAGATTCTAAATTTTTTTTGCTGAGTATTAAAAATATAAATACGAAAATGGGATAACACCTGTCATAGTCGCTATGTTTCATATTTTGTTATATAAATAACCTATTCTGCTTCTAGCTTTTATACTTTGAACTGAATGAAAGTATGACCTGGTGACAAAAGGGAAAAAAAAGTACAGTGTTAAGCTGAGTTAGTCTTCAAAGAACTAATTTCAGTCACTATATCAAGTGGCCAAAATTAATTTATTTAATGGATAGAAAATATTCAGTAATTTATCTTAATGTTAAGTTTCTCCAATTTATAGTAGAGTGAGGAGTGAGTTTATAATCAATTGTGTAAATGAAGTATTTTTCAAAAACTACGATTGAGGCTTTTCTAAAACTTTCATTTCCTAATCTGAGAAAGAAAAGATGTTCTTCGTCTTGTTTGATTGTAATTGCACCTTTGAGTCTTGTATGTCTGTTTGGGGTGAATGGGGATCCTGTGTTGTAGGAATGTTTTTGAAGATTTCTATTTTGTTTCCCACTTAGAAAATCCCCCTTTCTCTTTTGGGATATGTATGTTACGTAGAAGGTAGGCTGGAGTTAGACGTACTAGAATCATTTCAAGTGATTGTAGGTGTGGTTGTAGAGCAAGAGGGTCTCAGTCAATGTAGGCTTTTAAAAACGAGAAGTGCGCATCTACTGGCTTCTTCGGCTTTGTATTCTGTACTGTTTATTACAGAGGCAGATTTGTGTAG